TAAATCTAGGAATTGTAATCTAAACATTTTAATCGTAATTTTAAATTTTTAGCAAAGTTAAATTTAAATACACGACCCCACAAGCTTTTAGCTTTAATTGTTATCGTGTTTAAATAAAGTTTATCTATCTATCTATCTATCTATCTATCTAATGTCGGCCATTACTTTGGAAACAATGTCTGTCAAAAGATTTGCTTTGTAAACATTAGCACACACGTCAGCAGCGTACACCGATGGGCAAATAGTAGACGCTAAATTAACCAATCAGAGCGCGCGCTTTGCTTTAGTTATGTTATAAAGGTATTTAGACTGTATTTTAGCTGAACCAGAGGAAGGCTGTCAGAGAGGCTAAAAGCGCTGTTACAGCAAATCAAAAATGGTTTTTATGTTACCATTTACCATGCAGTTTTAAGATCTTTATAACTGTGTTTGCTTTTCTGTATGTAAAGGCGAATTCTAAGAAAATCTGTGAAGAAATATCCTTTCCTTCCTTTTTTACAGGTGTGTAGCAGTCGCAACAGCGAGCTTGTATTCATCAAAATAGAAAATAGACATCCCGAAAGTGGGATATTTACCATTACATAAAATTTCCAGAAAATTTTCAGGGGAACTGACTTTCTGTTGTTATTGTAAATTACAAGGCAGTACCTTTCAGAGCCCGTAAGAAGGTCTCACGTTTTCAGATCACACACGGCGAAGGCGCGAAACTTCACTCGTCAGCCATAATTTTACGGCAAACTGACTAAACGCTGGGGACAGAGGGCTCAAAACCGGCTTAACTACCTTTCACACAATGGATAAACCAATTGATGATCAACAAAATGAACCATACCTCCCTGACTTTCCCTGCGTTTCTTCAATTCTGGCACATCTTCATCGCTGACAAATTCAACTTCATCCGCCATTTTGCTTTTTCGTACCCAGGTTTTCTCGTGCGCTCGGTCTCCCAACTCCAGTCCTACTAACAGGCAGCCCAAGCTTAGTACAGTGGAACCTCGATTTGACGAACCTCTATTTAACGAAGTCCTCGATATAACGAACGATTTTCTTCAGCCCGGCCAAAATTACAGTAA